GTCAAGGGTTTCAGTTTGAAGACATCCGGCCTATCGTGAAAGACGATTTAATAAAGAGAGAGCTGGGGGCACCAGATTACCCAAGGCCGCGCCTGTCAAAGGAACTTAGCAATGCGCACGATTTATTTCCTAAGGTTTTTTTGGCACGTCGTTTCTCAGAAATTTCAGCCGTGGGTATAGCCCCTTATGTCTTGGCCAACGCCCACGACCCTGGTAAAATATCAAAGCAGAGGGTTCGATTTCTTCAAAGTATCGGGCAGCATGGCCAAGAGAAGAAGGGCCATCTTCTTTTGAACTCGACGCCTACAACTCGGCGCAAGTTAAAAAGAAGATGGCGCCGAGGACCTACGACAAAAAAGTCAAAAAGAAGAAAAGAGGAGGGTAGGCGAGCAAGGTAAGCAAACGGCGCGGCCAAAATAAAGCAACAATATGCATCTAGCTTTTCAGAAAAGAAGGCCCTTGTATTTAGACAAAAAGGGGCATTACTTACAAACAGAGAACGGCCAGCCGCGGCCGAAATAAACAAGTACTTATATATTTGTCTGGTCTTGAAACAAAAGATAAACTATGTGGGCAGATAATTTTTAAAAAAAAATGTATGTGAATATTTATTACATCCCAAAAAAAGAAAAAGAAAAATAGTTGAGATGGCCGCTCTTCGCCCGCCTAGACCCCTTCGCTGAACATTCCCCAGATCAGGCAGGTGATCCTTCTCCAAGCAATGTCCCCACCGTTGATGTCCGCCTGCCATCTCGCTCGAATCAGCTTCCGCTCGGCTAGGGCCTTCTTCGTCTCAGTCGCTGCTTTGAGGATTCGCTTGGCCGAGGATTTTAGCTCGCTCCCGGCTGCGACCGTACCATCTCAGCGTTGGAGGATGAGATCTCAGCGAACCTGGAGCTCGGTAATCTGGGCCTCAACCTGCGCAAGCTCTTCATTCTCTCGTTGGACGACGAGGTCATTTTCTTTCATTCGGGCCATTGCAGGTTGAACTTGTTCTTTAATCACCTCCAGATCCTGCTCGAGCGAGCTCCCCTCGGCCATCCGCGTGACAGCCTCAGCATACCGGCCGATCATCTCCTCACCTTCGGCCAGACGGGCTTGCAGTTCATCCAGTTGAGCCAAGTCGAGCAGACCGAGCGCCATGGCCGTATCCAAGCAGGACCTAAACTCCGTAATCGACCCAACGGCGGTCATTTGCCGAACATCAAGGAGAAGGAACTCCCGGAGCCGTTCAATAACGGTCTTGGAATCCTCGTCCAAGGGAGCCGAGGCCGAGTTTCCCCCTTCCTCATGGAGGCTGGCGTATAGCTCCTCAAGATCATTGGAGGAGGTGGCCTCCTAAACATAAGAGGGAGAAGGGGTAAGAGATAATTAACTAGGACATAAAGGGATAAACAAAAAAGGAGGTCGAATACTCATGGGGAGCGAAAGGTCGGTCATCACCACAGAAATAGTCCGCAGGAGACTCGGCACACTCACGACCGTGGCTCTAGTCATCACTGGCTCGGCCACGACCGTTGAGTCCTGGAACGACGGTATAGGAGGCATGGTCGCGGCAACCATGGCCAGCGGCGGTGACGATTGGGGAGGCTAGAGACAAAAATTCGGTCAGAAGTGTAGAACAGATCAAAAGAGAACGACAAAGCCAAGTATATTGAAGGCGGATTCTTACCGAGCGAAAAGAGATGCCGCTTGGGCGACGATGGGTGGACGGCAAAGGCCCACTTGGCATGTCCACAGCAGGCTCTTCGGCGGCCTCGTCGGTTGCTTCCTCAGCGGCCTCTTCATTGGCCTCCTCGCCGCCCTCATCGGCGACCTCTTCGGCAGCTCCCTCGGCGACTTCCTCGGCAATCTCTTCGGTAGCCCCTTCTGCAGTCTCCTCGGCAGGCGGCACGTCTGCGGGCGCAATCTCAGCATCCAGCGCCTCAGCCACTTCTTCGGCAGTGGCCGCCTCCTCAACCGTCGCCTCTGCGGCTCCCACCTCCTCGACCACCATGTGGGCAGCGGCCGCTTCCTTTACAAACGGCACCTCGACCGTAGCCTCCTCCTTGACTCTTGCCACGTCCTGAGGAAAGAACCAGATTACCAGAATGCATAAAAAGGGAAAAAGGATCCCAGGGAGTGGTACTTACGATCGCAGGGGGGGCCTCACTCATGATCACAGGAGGAGCCTCCTCCTCACCTCTGCCCTTCGAGGAGGTAAAAAGGTTCCTCTTCCTCGGCCGCTGCGAGGCCGCCATTTCGGCCGCGGCACTCTGGGCCGGTGCGGCCTCAGTACCCGACGCCTCTTGGCTCCTCTTGCGACCCGAGGCTGCGTATACAAGGAAAAGAGACAAGAGTGAGATGACCAGAGACAGAACTGGTTTAAAAAGGCCGGTGAAGAATAAATTATAAATAGAAAAATTAGGCGAGGCTTACCCGCAGCAGTGGTCGGTCGAGCTGGCAGAGAGGACGGCACGGTCCTGTGTGCCAGCGTCTTTCGTGCCCCCACCACAGGCGTCGCCCTGGGAGCTGGGGCCGCGGTGGAGGCCACGGCCGCTGATCTAGCCAGGGGAGGGGCCGTCACCCTGGGGGCGGCCACGGCCGGGGCACTTGGTCGAGGCGGCCCAGCTGATACCTTCTTCACTTCAATAGGCCGAATAAATCTGGCCGAGATACACTCCTCATACCAGACCCTTCCATCCTCGTCATACGCATTACGGCGCGACCAAGGCGTCAGAGTCAGGAAGGTCATTCCCTTTTGGAACTGGAAGGTGATTGTTGTGTGGATTTCAGCTGCACCAAAATGGATTCAGTTGCATCCTCAACTTGTGATACTCGCAAGTGCACGAGCCGTTTGGTAGTATAGCATATGTAAGTGCGAGGTCGATCCCACGAGGATTGGTGATTGAATGATCCAATTCATTTTCCCTACACAAAACAGAAATCTCAGCCACACCGTGATGCTGGGAGACGTCGGCCCTCCAGGACGATAGCCGGTTGGTTGACAGGGGGAGTGGGGCCGTTTGTATTAGGCCGAACTACCGTGCCACGAAGTTCGGCAGATACACCTTGGCCCCGGCCTTGGACAGGCCGCAATGGAGGTCGCGCGAAACCAGGAAGGAGCCCCAGATCTCCTTCAGATCGTTCTCCGTCTCAACATCA